TAATAATATTAATAGTAGTAGCATTAACAGTAGTAGTAGTAGTGTAGTGAAGGAGAACACAGGTGAGGGCAACCGAACTGTATTTACCTCAAATTACAGAGTTAATTGGTAAAATAGAAAAACCATATCGTAAATCGTTAATTTTCAAAATTTCAATCCATCATAACGAACTGGACTGTTCCTGTTGCAAACATCAATCCATTGTCTGACATTTCACTGATCATGCGTTTCATACAAATCCCGTTGTGCGCCCGCTCTTCCTTTCTTGATCTTCCCCCATCTTCTGCTGCCAGACATTACGATTTTACCCGCGTCATTATAAGTAGCGCGCACGACAGTAGTTGTAGTTGTAGTAGTAATAGTAGAAGTAGTATTACTGTGGTGTGAGCTACTTATAAGTAGTATATGACGTGAGTGTCAACGTAATGTCTGGCAGCAGAAGATGGGGGAAGATCAAGAAAGAAAAGATTAATAACATACAGTTATGTTATTTCCAGATATTAATATATTACTGCCTAAATAATTCCTGTATATAATATCATTATCATTACTGTAATTTTTATTACTATTATTGTATTCAGTAGACAATAGACAATTTTTAAAAACAATCAAAAATCTTGTCAGACTCAATTTAGGTGCACATGTGTATGGTGCATACAACATATCAACCTTTAATTATATTCATTTAATCAATAAATTAAACACTGCGAATTATTGTTAAAAAAAATATTCAAATAAAAAATTGGTAAATAAAAAGGTTGATTAGTAATCAACTATAAATCATTAAAAAAAGTCACATCAAATAGGACCGGAAAAGTGATTACAGAAAATAAGATGTAATTTAAACAAAGAGAACATTTGAGAAAAATCAATTTTAGAAAACAAATAAATCCAGTAGACATTCGGTGTTTAGGGAACAGTTATTAATGGGAAAAAAAACTTGCAACATCTAAATTAAATACTATCATATCAATTTTCATTGTTAACAGTTAACAAATGAAAGAAAAGAAACCTAAAAATGCTTTTGAACAATAATCTCGTTGTATTGTCCGAACAGTGTTCGGACAATACATTCTATGGATTGGCTATATGCACCCAGCTCAATGTGAATGCATAAAGTAATCAAATGAACATTCGAAACACTGTAACTCGTGTTTTCTAACCGTTCAATGATAATACAAAGATGGAAAGATAAACAGCAATGTACTGCCATTTTCATGCTATTAAGTTAAGTTCAAATGATTTATCATACTATAAATCTATATTATATAAACAAAACAGCTGATCAGGAAAACATACAAATCATCTGCGTAAATGTTGAGCTAATCATCGATTATACGCCTTTGATTAAACGACGTGAGTATATGCAATCAACAAAAGTAATTAGTTACTTTGAAACAAATAAAAATACCAGAAAATTTATTGTGATATAGGAGACATGAAAGATTGAGCAAGTTACCATTTAAAATCATATGATCAGTTAATATGTGGACACTTCAGCTTCACAGAACATCAGTCACTACTAACTGCAACACTAAATGATGCACATTGAAACTAGATAAATCTCATCAACTTTATCATAACTGCAAAAGTACAGCTTGTTGACAAGTGTTAATTATCTGTATCACTTCGTATTGAATCTATTAATCTATGATATCACAGCAAAGTCATCTCGAAATTGCGATTTAGATTCTCTATATCAATACTATCATCATTCTACAAGTCTTGTATGTTTAACAAAGAAAAAATTGGTATGAAGTTTAAAAATATTAGAAATTCAGTAAAGATTGATTATTTATGTGAATTTATGCAAACTTGTATAGCTAAAAATAAATGTTTCAGAAAATCTATATGCCAAAGTAACTAGTATGTTAATTTAATTAACTTTGGAAATAACAAAAATGTATCAACTTGTAGAATTTATTAATTTCTGACGAAAAGTTTAATTGGTTAGACAAAGTTGCCGCATTTATTCACGCAACAGTCTCTGAAATATCTTTGACAAAACTCAACTCATAGGTTAATGAAAGAATTTGAATTTGAATAGTTCAATATATCTAATGTTGCTTATATATATATATATACTGCTTGTGTATTACACTCAGTTAGTCAGTTACTGTTATGTTCGTCACTAGGTACGCTTGAAGCTATAACGTGTTCACCTTGGTCGATAAACGCGAACGAGACAATTACCAGCGTCCAGGTAGGCTACCTTGAATCCCAAGCTGTAAAACAGAAGTCTTGATAAGTGTAGAAAGTATATTCTACAAACACCCAGCAATCACAATACCATCAAGCACACAACTCTCGTTTATTTATATATCATAGAAACATCCTTGGTACAGTTACGAAAATAGCACACTAAAATACACAGCAGTCAATCACAGCCATAGATTTTCCTGATGGGAAATGAAATCTCAAGGCCAACTGATCAGCCGATGCTCGCAAACGTGAAATCCGAAATAAGGCATTTATCAAGCGAGTTCTGGGGATCTAACATCCCCAACAGTTACAACGTAGAATTTCGTACATGAGTACATAAGTTCAAATTGCCATACTACATTAGCGCAGAGACGCAATTGTCAGTTCAAATTCCATAGTAGTAGAGGTAGTAGAATTATGAACAGTAATCCGAGAGAATAGTTGAAGATGTTACACAAGGATTATAATCGATTGAAATAAATTTGAGAAGAGAAAAATGAAGCTCACTAGGAATTCAGAAGATTAGAATGAGAGAGAATACCCAGATTGGATGCACTTGCGCCATTGCAAACGCTTCTGAGCCATGTCATTCAAGATCTCTAACCACTGGTGACTTTTGTCTCGCGAACCCCAACCAGGCAGTCAACATCTACCAACATGATTCAGTCCACTTATTAGTGACTTTATGGATTTCTGCCATATTTTGATTTGGCCTCCCCTACCTACAGAACTCATGTAACCTCATAACTTATGGTTTGTTATCATACCCTTTAATTATATCTGATGAGTAAGTATATTCGAAGAAAAAGGGAATTTCATCTAATTAATAAATGGGTGAACTTATTTAATTACAATTTAGACAATAAAATAAAATTTAATCAAAGATATTAAATAAACAAATAAAAAATAAAAGCTATTATTTATTTAATTAATTTCAAATAATCTACAGAAAATAATCAATGTATGAAAATTTTTTAAAAATATACAAAAATAAGAAAGATAAATGTATCAATGAAAGAGGAAGAAGAATCAAGAAAAATTATCATCGTTATTGTTCATTTTCAAAATTAAATCAACCAGTGAATTTAAGATTTTTCATTTCAGGGTATAATAATTTGTTTGAATGATGTTTGCCTGTTACATATTTCTTATAATTAGACTATTTTCATAAAACTTTTCTACTCTATTCGCTATATCTTCAGAATTCCAAATAATTTCTAATGAATATGTGGTACGTGAAAGTTGTCAGTAATATAGCTATTCAGAGCATTGGCACATTTATATACGTATACTCCATCACTTATTCTCAGCGAGATTTTATTGGGGACGTTAGATCCACAGAACTCACTTTGCAAAGGTCCTAATTCTACGATTTTTTGTGTTTTCGCGCATAATTCGCTCAGTTGACCTTGAGATTACATTTCACAGCAGGAAAATCGTTGACTGTTATTGTTTGATGTATTATCTTAGTATGCCATTTTTGTGGCTCTCCTAAGAACGCTTCTACCATGTATAAATAAGCTCGATTTGTGTGCTTGTCAACCTTATATTTTCTGATTGATTGTAGAATACACTTTCTAAGCCTTATCAAAACTTCTTGATATCGTTCGTTAACAGGGCTGGATCATTTGTCTTCGCTCTTGTTTACCGACTAAGATGAACTTCTATATCAAATGACGAGCATAAAAGTTGTCAATAATGTAACTACAATTATTCAAAGGATAGGAACATTTATATACCTATACTGCATAACTTATTCTCCATAAGATTTGCTTTCTAACAGTACTTTATCTATATTATGCATTTTCTAACATTTCACGTATTTGCTCTATCTTTCTATCTTCTTCATTCTTTTTACGTCATTTCTTATTTTTTTTCTATTCTCAATTCTCATTTCAATTACAACATGATTATGAATGTTTGTATGTTAAACTAGTTTGATTTATGTTAACTGAATGAAAGCATAGTTTAGAATAAATAAAAATCAAAAATACAATGAAACACGAAAGAAAATGACAACGAAAGATAATCCAAAGAAGAAGCAAAAGAAAAGGAGGGTTGTTTTTTTCAGGAGAAAAAAAAACTGTCAAACAATTCAGAGTTATAAGAAAAAAAAATAAAATAGCTGAAGCATTCACTGGTCACGCTAAACAATTTTAATTGAAACTTTTTTCTTTTTTAGTAGTAAAATAAAGAAATAAGTTTGTTTTTTCTTTTTGTAGGTAAATCATTTTCATTTATGTTTAATAGTTATGATAAAGATGATCATTTTTTTTAAAAATTATTTTCAAATCTTATGTATCACTTTATTTAAACACGTAAATATGGATATAAAAAGAAGCACTGAATTTGTACGTGGTCTGGAATACTGCCTGCCTGCTCAAACGAATGTATGTGGTTTTCTTTAGAGGCTACTCCTCAAGCTTTTGACAGAGACTTCTAATTCACAAGGCAGTGAAGAAACATTAGAAGATGTGATCCTATGGTAGCCGGTAACCTAGAATAGGATCATGCGCTACTTAACTACTCAGTATCTTGGAATCTGTTTGATCTATTGGTTTGGAGTGAGGGTCTTCCAGCTCCCCAAGGTGGATCCTTTGTACATTAATTGACATTAATTTTACGTGTAACCATATGAGACCATTTCGAAATGGAGAGTGGATTCTATCTACTCTCAGCTGTACCGGGGAATTTGGGGGAAAGTGATAAGTTCGTCACTTAGTATGCTTGAGGCTATTACGAGTTTACCTTAGTCGATAAACGAGAACGAGACTTTTACCAGCTTCCAGGGAGGCTACCTTGAATACCCAAAATCGGAATAGAAGGCTTTGTAAGCGTAGGAAGTATATTCTACAAACACCCAGCAATCACAGTACAATCAAGCATACAACTCTCGTTTATTTATACAACATAAGAACGTCCTTGAGACAGTTAAGAAAATAGCATACTAAAATACACTGCAGCCAATCACAGCCATTGATTTTCCTGGTGGGAATTGAAATCTCAAGGTCATCTGATCAGCCCATGCTGGCGAAACGTGAAAACCAAAATACGGCATTATCAAGCGAATTTTGGGGATCTAACATCCCCAACACTCCTCCCCTTTTTAATAGCTTGTTCTCCTGGGGTCGACTTGCATCTTGACTATTGTTCGCCGCTGTCTGAGGGGATACCTTCGGGAACGAAGAACAGCTTGCTGCTGAGTTTCTTCTCGTGGCGGGGCTCTCGGTAGGTTGAAGGTATCAAGCAAGATGTCAAGGGGAAGGCTTTCTGCTCTTGATGGGCGATCTGGGGCTAGCCGTCTGCGTATCTGATTGCGATGACGTGACCATTTATCACCTCCTACCTCTACTTCGTACATAACTCGACCAACCCTTCTGACCACTCTCGCTTCTACCCAAGGACCATGGTTCGTTCTGTAGTCGCGGGCAAACACAGGGCATCCCACCTCGTAAGCGGATTGTCTTTGCTGCTTTGTCTCTACTGATGAGGGTGCATTGGTCGGATGCATCAGGCTGTGGATCGTTTTCAATCTTCTTCCCATCAGGATTTCAGCTGGGGACTTTTGCTCCGGTAACAATTCATTTGGTGTTGTCCGATAGACGTACAAGAAATTTTGTAACGTTTCGGCTGGCGTCCCCTCCCCTTTTGACTTGAGCAGTGCTCTTTTAAACGTATCCACAAACCTTTCCGCCTGCCCATTCGATTGCGGGTGGTATGGTGGCGAGCGTAAGTGTTTAATGGCTAGCCGTTGACAGAAATTCTGGAATTGGGAAGAGGTGAATTGAGAGCCATTGTCGGATACGATCACATCTGGTATGCCATTTCGTGAGAAAATTTCAGTTAGGAGCTGTATAGTCTTAGTTGTAGTGGGCGGCATAACGGGGCTGATTTCCGGCCATTTAGAAAAGGCGTCGACGACAATTAAATACATAGTTCCATTTATTGGGCCAGCGAAGTCGACATGTATCCTGGACCAAGGATGCTCAGGTTTGGGCCATGAAACCGGCGGAATTTTGGCATTCATCTTTGCCGCCTGCTGACACCGCATGCATTTTTCAACCAACGCTGTGACATGTTGATCCATGTGAGGCCAGTATGCATAACTCCTGGCTATGGACTTCATTCGTTTAATCCCAGGATGACCAAGATGGAACTGTCTCAGCACTTTTGCACGAAGGGATTCTGGCACCACTACTCTTTCACCAAACATCAGACAATCGTTCACGATGCATAGTGACTCCCGCCGCTGATACAGTTGCTTCATGTCACCTTCAAACTTTTTCGACGGCCAACCGTTAGTGACATATTTCATCGTCATCTTGATGATGGGGTCGTTTCTAGAAGCATTTTGTATGTCTGTTGCAGACACCGGTAATGCGCGAACTGCGGTTGTCAGATCACATTCTGCGTGGTCTTCTACTGACAGAGATGCGATCACCATGTTTTCCTCAGCCGCCACTTGATCATTAATGAGTCGTGACAAAGCGTCTGCTTGACCGAATTGTAGAGTACGTCGATATTGGATTTCGAAATCATACCCCAAAAGTACCAAGGCCCATCGCTGAAGACGATTTGCAGAATGGGCTGGAATGCCAGACTTTGAACCAAATATTGCTAACAGAGGCTTGTGATCTGTGAGGAGCGTGAATCTCCGACCGTACAGAAACTTATGGAAACGGCGAACAGCAAACACAAGGGCAAGAGCTTCTTTCTCTATCTGGCTATACTTCTTTTCTGCTGGGGTCAGTGTACGGGATGCATGCATAACGGCTTTTTCCGACGCGTCTGGAAATTGATGTGAAATAACAGCACCTAGGCCATATGCTGAAGCGTCTGCTGCTACGATGATCGGCATGGATGGATCGTAGTGTGTTAATAACAATTCCGAGCTAATTATAGACTTGAGTTTACCAAAAGCCGCGTCACACTCTTTAGTCCAGTTCCATGTGCTATGCTTCTGCAGTAGACAATTCAATGGAGCGCGAATATCATGCATCGAGGGAACAAAAGCTGAATAATAACTGATCAAACCGAGAAAAGATCGTAATTCGGAAACATTAGTGGGAGTGGGCATCAGTTTGATAGCTCGGATGTTTTCAGGATCCGGTCTGCGACCGTCGGCATCAAAGATGAATCCCAAATACTTTACCGACTGCAATAGAAACTGGCATTTTTCTGGGCGTAACCGGAAACCATTGTCACTGATGCGTTGTAGTACCAATGTCGTGCGTTCCCGTAGCTGTTCTAACGTCTTCGCAACAATCAAGATATCATCGAGATAAGCTGCAACCCCTGAGATATCTGACAGGATAGTATCCATTAGTTGTTGGAAGATAGATGGGGCAGTCTTAACTCCAAAAGGTAGACGGTTATACTGGAACAAACCACGATGAGTGTTGATAGTAAGCAGCTCTTTAGATGCTTCATCGACTTCCACTTGCAAATAAGCATCAGCTAGGTCAAGCTTTGCGAAGAACTTTCCCCCATTCAGCATAGTGAACAGATCTGCTGGGACTGGCAGAGGATAATGATGCTGTTCTAGAGCTGCGTTGAGACCTGTAGAGAAGTCAGCACATATACGTATCGTGCCGTTGGCCTTCTTGATAACGACTATAGGTGCTGCCCAACTGGAGTAAGAAACGGGAGTAATAACTCCTTGTCGTTGAAGGCGATCCAGCTCTTCATCTACTGTTGCTAATGTAGCATACGGTACAGGTCTCTTTGGACGAAAAGCAGGCTTAGCCCCATGTTTCAACCGAAGTGTTGCTTTCATAGCAGTGCACCGACCTAATCCAGGTTCAAAAATGGTTGAAAACTCTGTCATCAGCTTCTTCGTATACGCTTCTGGGTCATGTCGTTGTGATACCAGGTTGCATATGGTATTTAGCGGGACATCAGCCAATTTTAGCTGGTCGAACCAATCTAAACCAAGTAAATTTAGATCAGCTGGCGTTATATAGCATACCCCAGTAAACGACGAATCTCGGAAAGCAACTTTACATTCCAATTGTCCTAACAGACGAAGATAATTACCACATGCTGTACGAGGCTTTTGTGTTGTGTGCTGCAGGCTTGGGCTGCCCAATTTGGTCCAATTTTTGCGTGAGAGGATAGTGACATCAGATGCAGTATCTATTTGCATTCTACACAAATAACCGTTAATATTAAGAGTAATAAATTTCCTCTCACCTGGTGATGAGCTTTGGCAGGAAGATATTAGGCTCAATGCATTGGTACTGGATCTAGGAACAGGCTTCTTAGCACTTCTGGATCGCTTTGGCTTTTTCTGTAGGCAAAAGCCATCTTTATGACCGATGACTTTACACTTCCTGCATCTATGCTGCCTAAATGGGCAGTTCCGTACATAGTGCCATGAACCGCAGTGCCAGCAAGCAGAAGGTGGATTCATTTTGGGTTTTTGGGCCGAATTGGAGCGGGGTGAACTGGGTGTAGCACGGGCAGACTTATAATGATTAGGTGGCTGCTGTACCAAATGAATTTCAGATCGGCTTGAACTACCACTCTGAACTATAGTCGAGTCTCGTTGTAGGTTAGTGAGACGTTGGTACTCATGAGCCATATCATTAAGCGTAAGCTTTGGATCTTGCTCCAACCGACTTAGTAGCCTTGTTCTAATGTCACTGAACTTACTCGACTGGAGGCTGCAGATGAGTATAAGGGCTTTGAACTGGTCTTCCGACAAAGACTTCAACCGAAAGCGTTCGCATTCACGGTTGACGATGCCCACGTGCGTAAGAAAATCATCATCTTCGTTCATAATAAGCTTCAAACATCGATAACGAGTATTAAATAGTGACGAGTTGTCTCCAAAGTGTTGGCTTAAAGTCTGAACAGTCTCAGAAAACGAACAATCTCGTGGGTTCAAAGGCAGGATCAAATTACAGTACTTATCCAGCTCACTTGCGCCCAACTTTCGAAGTAGCAGCCGAACCTTCCAAGCATCATCTTGGTTAGCGAAATCAAATTTAAATAAATCTTCATAACGCCGGAACCACATGTCAAAAGTAACATTTGCATCAGGATCATAATGAAATTCAGATATGCTATTTGCGATGCCGTCGACCGATGGAGCTGTGGTTGCATTAGATGAGCTGGGCTGCGTGGAAGGGGAAATCTTCATGTCTGTCAACATCTGCATCAGTTTCAGCTGCTGCTCAAGTAGTAATTCAAGTTTGGCAGGATCCATATTTCCAAAAGCACCGTCGCCACTGATAAGTTCGTCACTTAGTATGCTTGAGGCTATTACGAGTTTACCTTAGTCGATAAACGCGAACGAGACTTTTACCAGCTTCCAGGGAGGCTACCTTGAATACCCAAAATCGGAATAGAAGGCTTTGTAAGCGTAGGAAGTATATTCTACAAAACACCCAGCAATCACAGTACAATCAAGCATACAACTCTCGTTTATTTATACAACATAAGAACGTCCTTGAGACAGTTAAGAAAATAGCATACTAAAATACACTGCAGCCAATCACAGCCATTGATTTTGCTGGTGGGAATTGAAATCTCAAGGTCATCTGATCAGCCCATGCTGGCGAAACGTGAAAACCAAAATACGGCATTATCAAGCGAATTTCGGGGATCTAACATCCCCAACAGAAAGACTAATAAATTATCTTAATGATGAATCCATAGTAAGCACAAAATATGTTAGTGGAAGTTGATGAATTGTGAGTCACCAAACGAGATCTTCCAAAAGGAGTTTCTCCTAAACTCCTTCAAAATCTACTAATAAGTTCTATGAAGTAATTTCATTTTCTAAACTACAATATAACTTTTAAAATGAAACCGTTTATTTTCACATAATAGACGGGTTGTAACTAGTTTAATAATTTAAAATGCTCGATTTAGACCATAGCAGAATCTTTGAGCATGTTAGTAGGTAACTATGCCTAATAGTTCAGTGAGAAACTCATGGTTTTGCTTCAGAAATTCAATGTGAACATCTGTACTCGGGTTCGCGTGCATCCAGTCTATATATATATATATATATACTAGTAATGTGAATTGGTAATTTGAACTGTTTCTCCATAATGCCATGCATCAGATCAAACTTAAGACTTGCAAATACTTTAGCTTGTAAGTTATTTCTCAACCACCGACTTGAAATTCAATGTTAAACACTTTTTCAATCTTATTAATAAATGAAATCTATATGTGACTATACCACTGTCGATTTAATTCATTGTATCGGTTAGGCATTTCAATTGAAACTTTAAGGATGTATTTTTACATGTAAACAAACAATTTTCCCATAATAAGTTGATCTTGCAAAGATTATTACTTAATATGAAGATAGTTTACACATCATTAAGTAACAGTATTTAAAAATCTGTCTAAAACTGACCATCTCTCAACAAACCACTTGACTAGATATTTGAATAGTGGTTATAATAACTAATTTATTTTTATAATAGTTTCATTAACCGAATAAAAATATTCATGTGATAATTTCTCAGATTTTGAGGCCTAGTGACATGGGTTCGAACCCACCACAGAACATCAATCCTCTCAATCTTACAGGAGCATTATGTTGACAGGTACTGACTTGGCCAAAACATATGACCAAAATTTACGAAACACTAACTCTAACCACCTTAAGTCTAATCAGAGCGTACAAAATGTTGAATTATTCAGATCAGTGGTCACTAATCAATTCGGTTCATAGAATTTGATCAGCTCTGGAAAGGGATAGACAAACATGATATATGTTACTACTACATAAGGATTTATCGATTACTTTGTGTTAAATCGAAAATTCAAGAAACTTTACTAAAATATACTGCATTACGGGGTTGTGAAGATTGTTAAGCTTTTTTGAAACCATGAATCGATCAATGTTCAACCTGTTCGGGTGTAGACAGTAACTACCGAAGACAGTGCATGAGGTTGCGCATCTCCGTGAATTGATCAAGTTAGACATTAACACTGTAAGGTACCGGCTCAGTGGTCCGAAGGTTAGGCGTTCGCCTACAATACCGAAGGTCCTGGGTTCGAATCCTGCGAAGTGCAGGAGTCGTGGATGCGCACTTCTGAGTAGTCCCATACCAAGACGAAGCAGCCGTCCAGTGCTTCCAGGTTTCTAATGGTGGTCTAACATCGATCGATTCATGGTTTCAAATATATATATATATATATATATATATATATATATATATGTATACTGATAAAGGATAAAACTAATAAATACTTACAAAGAAAGATCACAGAAAATTAAATCTATGAGATTTAAAAAATTATTATTATTGTTATTACTTAGAACAATAATTTTCTTAACTGAAGACAATAATTGACACCGTGTTAATAAATGTGATCATATTGTATATAACGAATAATGAATGATTGATCATTCACTGAACCAATAATTATCGATTAGCTAGTTCACCTTCTCATTTCCTTTCTAGGAAATGCACAGTTTTCATTTACAAAATACACATGATTTCATCATGTGAATTTTACCAAAGGACGTTTTCATCTTATGCAATAGTTACTGATTACTATTTACAACAACACTATGATGAAATTGAATCGATCAATCTGATTGATACGAATAAATTCTCACAGTTGGAAAAATGACATTTTTATCATTTCATTGAATCAATCCACTACTTCACGATGGTTAGTTGTTTTAAAAGCAAAGAAATGAAAAACTAAACAATGACATTTATAAATGAATATATTCTATTCTATTCTATTCTATTCGATTTGATTACTGGTCTTAAGGAACTTGGAAAATCATTATGAAATGTTTATCACAGTTATTTGACAATTAACACATACACACACACACACCCATACAAATAATTGAAATCAAGAATCTTTTGGAGAAAAATCAATTAAATGGAAAATGTGTGTTCATTTTGAAATTAAAGAAACTTCATTTTTGCTTTGTTTTGTTAAACGGAATTCTTTTTCGTATTCTTGATAAATTCAGAAATAATATTATAAATGTCTTCATATAATTTTCATAATCTTTAATCAGTTAGTAATCTAGTAAGTCAGATGCATAGGGTTGTATAAGAATAATCTAAAAAATTATTTATATGTTTATAGTCTATGTTATTATCTGTATGCTACAAGAATCCCGATTATTGAATTGATGCGAAAGATTTATAGTACAGCTGAATAATTTTGTTTATTGCTTGTGGTTTGTGAGTTAGACGATTTAATTACTATTCTTTTATTGCATTACGGGGTTGTGAAGATTGTTAAGTTATACATGTAAAATCATGAAATCGATCAAAGTTACATCACCATTAGAAACCTGGAAGGATTGGACGGCAGTTTCGTCCTGGCATGGGACTCACCAGCAGTGCGCATCCACAACTCCTGCATCTCGCAGAATCTGGAGCCAAGGACCTTCGGTCTTGCGTGCAAATGCCTAACCTCTGGGCCACTGAACAGGTATCTAACCGTGTTAATGTCTAACTTCCATCAATTCATGGAGATGCGCAACCTCATACACTGTCTTCGGTAGTTACTGTCTACATCTGAACATTATATTCTTCCACTGTCTTTCTGGATAATATATCATAAGTGTTTTATTGACAATAGTTTACCACTACAACAACAACAACAAATGATTCATAATGAATCCATCAAGTTGGCAGAACATAAAACACAACCAAAAGTACTTACCAATCTGTAGATTATTAAAATCAATTATTTTGTAGTCCAGTTAGAACATGTCTAAATTGATGTATGTTTCATGTTTTTCACTTTCATACAACATTGTTTTAAATCAGTGTTGAGAGATAATTGAATTTTTTTCTGTATCAAGCTTAAACACTTTATGCATGATTTATCTTCTAGATGACTACTTATTAGATAAATGATAGTTGATTTTGAGTCTTTTATTAATTCTGGTGGCTCGATATAATAATATCTAGATTCTTGCTCTTACCAAGCATGTTCGGGTTGAGGTTTTCCCCCTCGAAATGCAAACTGTTATTTCATGATTGGCTTGCGACTTCACCGGAACTAGTGATAGGCAGTGAAGTAGTCAAACGTGTAGACCGCTTCACTTATCTAGGGAGTCTCATCAGTGCCGATGGCCCGGTGACTGACGAAATATCAACGCGGATACAGAAGGCTCGATTAGCTTTTGCCAACCTTCGACACCTATGGCCCAGGCGAGATATCCGTTTGCTAACCAAAGGACGAGTGTACTGTGCAGAACTTCTCTCCGTCCTACTATACGGATGCAAAACATGGCCGTTAAGAGTAGAAGATGTTCGTAGGTCACTAGTATTCGATCATAGATGTTTAAGAAGCATCGCTCGTGGGACAACCGAGTAAACAATGCTTTCGTTAGGAAACGAGTTGTGGTTAATGATGGCAGATCAATAGATGAAGTAGTGAAACTTCATCACTTGAGGTGGTTGGGATATGTGTTACGAATGCCTAAACACCAACTCCCTCGACGAGCCATGTTTCGCAGTTTTGGAGTAGGTTGGAAGAAAGCTAGGGACGGCCAGACCAAAACACGGTAGAAATCCATGAAGTCACTGACAAGTGGACTGAGCTATGTTGGTAGATATAGGCTACGTGGTTGGGGTCCGCGAGACGAACGTCACTAATGGTTAGAGACCTTGAACGACATGGCTCAGAATCGTCTGCGATGGCGCAGATTCATTTACTGTTTGTGTTCTCTCTAATTCTAACATTCTGAATTCCTCATAATCTCTATCTATCTCCTTCTAAATTTATCTCACTTAATTATACTTCTCGAATCATTTCTTCGCTCCCTAATCTTCCCCATTACTGCTAATACTTCTACTGTCACTATCACTCTTGGATCTGAACTGACAGTAGCGTCTCCGTGCTGATGTGGTATGGCAACCTGAACTGATGTACTTACGTACGAAGTTCTGCGTTGTATCTATCTCTCTGTCTGTTTGCGCTTACAATGAGTTACAAAACTGTTCATGTGACTGATATAAAATAGATAGAATGTTACTAAGAGTGGATTCCAAAATGCTTGGTTTGTCCTATTACAGTTGAATGTACTACATTGGTAGACCTTATACTCACTGCCGGACTCGAACCCAGTACAGTTTGCTTCAAATACTGTTGCTTGTCCAACATGTTTATCTATGGATCACAAATTGATGAAATTCATAACTGCTTCCATTACAGATGTACGTCGTAAATGAAAAAGTTACCCTTTCATTTAATGAATATGCATTTCCAATTAAGTAAATAACTTTCCTCTTCAATTATATAATTATAAAAGTATTAGTTCCTTGAAATTATTCAATCGCCTTCTTT